AAAACAAACCTTTTGCAGACACTGTAGTAGTAGTAGTAGTAGTAGTAAGTAGTAGCTGAAACTCCTCACGGTTTACACTATTTGTTTCTTATTAAACAATCATTTTTCAACTTTTTTCATTTCAACTCAAAATAGATAGCCCAAAAAAAATCGTTAATTCGTTAATTCCTTAAGTTTGATCTTTTAAATAAGTAACATTTTTATACAAAAAAGACCAACTTAATTAATTAATGATTTAATGATTTTTTGTGACAAATGGTCCATGTACGTGAGTGCAGTGTATCGATTTTTCAAAAAGCTTTGATGTTTGGAGTTTTTCCTCTAGTTCAAGTTCTGTACAGGAGCTTAGCTGGCAACCAAACCAAAGACCTGAAAGGTTTAGAAACCTGGAGATCAGCATTGTCTGAGATCCACAGGTGTTTGCCTCAAACGTTGGAGGTCAGTTTTGCGTGGGACAAAAAACCTAAAGGTGAAGCTGCTTTTGATACACTTTTTGAATTTACTTTTTGGCTTCAAAAGAGGAGCCGTACATGTCGGCTGGAAGCCAAAAGCAGCTTCTCATTTTCTGGCATTTTTTTGACCGTCTATGTCAACAGGCTCGCTCGCGCAGATAACCGGAAAGTGTGACATTGACTTGAACTAGAGGAAAAGCTCCAAACATCAAAGCTTTTTTAAAAATCGATACACTGCACTCACGTACATGGACCATTTGTCACCAAAAAATCATTAAATCATTAATTAATTAAGTTGGTCTTTTTTGTAAAAAATACTTATTTAAAAGAGCAAACTTAACGAATTAACGATTTAACGTTTTTTTTTGGGCTATCTATTTTGGCACGTTTTTGTTTTCATTACTGTGGCTTGCTGGCAATTGCTGGCAAACAGCTAAGCTGTAACCAGAAGCCATCGACAAAGGAAAAAATAGAGGCCAAGCCAACTCCAGCGAGCATTGAACCAAAGAAAACAAACCTTTTGCAGACACTGCTGGGGGAACAGAATTGGTTGTCAGTTTTCACGCCCGTTTCAGAGTCCCACTCTT